AATAGGAACGATCAGTGTGTAGGAAGGCAGGCAGGCAGATTCCGGCTTACACGTCGCAGCACATGCGGATGCCGTCACGCCAGCATTCAAACAGTCAGTCGATCGATCAATCAATTTGACCACGGGCATGCATGAACATAAATCAGTCAATTGTAAGCTATAACAGAATGTTGAGAGCAGATTCAAGCGGAAAATTACGCATTTACATAGAGTGCAGTTATAAGAATAATAAGTAGATGCATGAACGCCACTGTTTGCGACNTTGCGACACCCAGCCATATCGCTCAGTGTCACTAACCCTCGGTGACCATGACCTCTGGGTCCTCAGCCGGGAGCCTAACGGGACCTATTTGAGCCAGTCTCCTGGTCAGGGTTTTCATACCCTCATGATAGGTCTTAGTTTGACTGCCCTTCATTTTTTTTCTAACCGCTACCTGCCTCGGCAAACATCGCTAGCCAGGGTAAGTGGAGAGCGTGAACCGTTCTCTGTAGTGAGCATGGTTGTGGTGCGAAAGGGCGAATGCCTATCGCCTCAGTGGTGGATAGTGTGTGTGTGTGTGAGCGTACTGCCTTAGAGGGGAGTGGTGGAGAGCACACGATGGATTACGTTGAACGCGGATTCTGGTCTAATTGGATGGTCTGTATCCACCAGATGACCAAGAATGGCGCTTCCTATGCTTCCTGTGCCAGCGTAGGTAGTGTTCCTTCATCCGTTGGGATAGTTGTCTCATTGTGCAACCTGACACGTCAAAAACGACTCATTATAAGACCCTCATAATTCACCCGTTTGTAAATATCGATGCATACTGCTCGTCATGTTTGTCAAACTTTCTACATGGGTACTGCATAATGCGGCAACGTTACGGTTGCAAGTGAACGCTTACTGACCAAACAAAACTGCCATCCATTTGCAGTTCTTCAAATAAAGTTTCATTTCTACCCTAAAACGATTACTTTCTATGTTCGTTTGAACCCATGGATATATATATATATATGTGCGTTTGTAATGCAACGTACATTGGCCGCACGGCGAAGCAACTATCCCAACGGATGAAGGAACACTGCCCACGCTGGCACCAAGAGCATAGGAAGCGCCATTCTTGGTCATCCAGTGAATATTGTGACTAAGTAATCGCGGGTTCAAAAGAACACAGAAAGTAATCACTTTAGGGTGGAAATAAAACTGTATCTGAAGAACTGCTAATGTATGGCAGTTTTGCGTCACCATATTGGTAAGCAGTACAAGTTGCTTCGATCGTCTTTATTGTCATACATCTCTGTCACCTGACCCATGGTAAGCAGCAAGCGCTCACTTCCAAGCGTAACATTGCCGCACCCATATTAGGAAGTCGGACAAACATGACGAGCAGTATGCATCGATATTTCCAGACGAGTGAACTGTGAGGGTCTTATAATGAGTCATTTGCGACACGTGTCAGGAACGATAGTAATTACGATAATGTACGACGGACCACAAAGTAAATATAGAGTAACGGTAGCGAGTACTTCAGTGCACTTTGTGGGAAGTCAGATCGATATGAAAATGCCAATACAATAAACAGGCGTAAAAAACATCATTTTGCTTGTTTGCTATTACGCATTGTGAGCGTGAAAAGATCACCAAACAACAGACACAACAGAAATATTTGGGGAATACGCAGTCAAGTAGACGACAAAATCATGAATTGGAAGGCCACAATGACTCTAAGGACAATGATTAAGGCCGAATAAACCCTGTGGTTTGGATATGATAAAACCTCTGCGCCTCTACCACTGAACTTATATCTCTTTATCTCACTGTTCACATCAATCAGTGAGCTAAACAGACAGACGATGATGAGCTGATCAGATTGACATTTTTGACGGTGACTGGTGAGTCGAAGAGAGAAGTGTACTGCTAAGTGGTCAATTCGGGTCATTTTGCATGCTAAACCAGAACTCCCAGGACGTTGTACGATAAGACTCGTGTGGAAAGTTGTGACTAGCCAGTAAGAATCAATAATTCACGCAGATCGCTGTCACCCCAATCCTGACAGTTCCGATTCGAACGAGGTGTCGGCGATAGACCTTTTCTTGTGAGTACTGTTGCTAACTGTTAGACGACGTGAATGAACCATTAAAAACAGAGTCATTGAAGAAATAAAGGTCTCATTATTACATCCTCGCAATGTTAACGGCGGACGGCTCATATTAAAACGCAGTCAGTTGCTTAATTTTAGTCATAAATTGGAGGCACTGATGACCAACGCTTCACAGTTTTACCTTTGCCATGCACTCTGTAGCCACGTTTCGGAAACGTATGTAAGGATAAAAAACGGCGGATCGGAAAACATGCAGAACTGTGTGGAGGCTTAGTTCACAGCACAACCACCAGGCTTTGCAAAGTTGTAGGAATGCCCTCCTCACACAATTGAAAAGAAGCTTAACTTCGGCTGTCGCTTGGCCATTTGGCTGGATGGTAGATTCTGCCCGTGAATTCCCGGGTTCGATCCCCAGTTAGGTCGATGCACTCGCACTGCTGATGAGACACAACCACGTCCAAAAAGCTGTCCAGTGCTTCCCAGCTTTCAGTTCACGTTTCATTTTCTATATGCACGACGAATTTCGTCTTTGATATTCTAGGTACTTCAAGTGAAGCACCAGTTCTATTTTTTCACTATTGATGTGGATCGGGCGAGATGAGCATGGGAAATTTGTGAATAACTTCATTCTTGAGGTGCACATCTCTTCATTGGTGGTCTTGGCTTCATATTTGATATAATCCATTATCGGTTGGACACTGTCAGGATTCTTTTAGAAAATGGCAATGCGGTCGTCGAATTCGGGATCAGTTATCCAAGTTTCGTGGCTGACTTGAATTCTTCAAGAAGCAGAAAGAGTAAGACGCATTACCCAGTCTACGATGCGGTTGAATAGGATTAGTACCAGGGATGCCGGAAACAAGTGGAAATTCCGCAAACTGTTCCCCGTATGCGTTGCACATTCATACTATTGTCGACTAAGATAGTGAGTGGCTAGTCTGGAGTTGACGGCATTTGACAAAGCCTGGACGTGGTCTTGTAAGCGGGATTTCTGATGCAATGAAAGATGAATATTGAGAGGGGTACATACCGGTGTGTGGTCCGTGCCATTGGAGCTCCCCCTTGACGGTGGCACAGTACGCTCGTAAGCTCTTGACCGATGAGGCCAATAGGTGGCGTATTCAATTTGATGTGCTGTTTTGTTGTCATTTGAATATCAAGTGTTTTGTGGCATCCAAAGCGGTTATTCGTGACGGTAAGCCGATAGAGGTCTGGAAACGTAACCATGTGATCGGCATTGACGCATCAATCACCGAGGTTGAAGGTCCTCAATATATGTTGCGCATGCTTGTCTGCTGGCATTCAAGACCCATGAAACCAAAAGAATGGGGGTTCAATTGACTCAATCCTGGAGTGTATTGGAGATAACATCTATGATATTTGATTAGGATCAGTATGTAGGATTGCGGCTTAGACTGCAATTACGATTACATTAAACGGTGTGTCTTAAAACCAAGTTAAGGCGATCCTTGATGAAATCCGATTCCAAGAGACCAGATCATGGTGTGCTGAGCTGTTCATTTTGACCACAACTCCACGCAACCCGGAAATATTTGTTGGCCCCGTAGGATAGGTTTGCATGGAGTGTTGGGCTAACGGATTCAGGTACGTGTGTCTCAGATAAACAGACAAGTTCGAATGCTTAGTCCGGGTGTATGCATTGACTGCCTCAGCCCGACAGAGTGGCCGAGCTCTCACTACCTAGATGCACTGGTGGCCTGTTGTGAGTGCATGTGTTGAGGTTCCTTGCTCGTGTTTGAGTACACTTGACCACTGGGAGCGCACGCAGCTCGTCAAAAAATTATCAGTGCGAATTCCAGAGACCGAATTCATGCAACTACAGCAGAACGGCAGCCAAAAGAACAATGTGGGCAGAGTATAATGTGTAGGATCTTTGGAACAAAAACAATGAGTGGTGCAACTTAGACAGAATTGATGAATAACGCGCCGAAAAACGTGGAGCAGAACACTCCAGCAATAGACAACAGTCCGGGCGAGGAACATTTGTTGTCCGCCAAAAAGGCTGCCAAATGGTTGTCATCTTTCAATTCTGAGTAACCAGCTTTGCCACATGATGACTTAATCATAAAATAATGCTAGTAAAATCAAGAACGTGTTAAGTATAACCGATAACTTCTAATCCAGCCACATTCAAACGGTAATTCTTACAAGGTTTGGGTAGGTAGGGTGCTGAGTCGGGAATACAAGCAACAGTAAACAACGGTATACCACATCTATCTAAGACCATGTAGACTTGTGAGCTTTAATTAATGAGGTAAAAATTGCTAAATAAAGCAATCGGGTCAATTCGCTAGAATTTCCAGACTGGCAAAGAATATTCATCTCTCGTGATCGTGTGCAGCTGCAATACACAAAACATCATTGGATTTAGTCGGTTACACAAAAAGGATGAAACTCAATAGTAGCTCACCTTGAAAGACGTTTTCTTCCCCGAGGACGGTCGGAGCCAACTTTGTACAGACGGATAAGAGTCCACATCCAGCGTTTCCGAATCGCTAACGCCATACGTGCCGGCATGTCGCACGGGAGTTTGTGTTCGACTTCGGTGACGTGTTGTCAGGCTTCGTTGCTTTAGCATAGCACTCACCGGCCGCAATCCAGTAACCGAATGCGGTAAACCAGTCAAGGTGCCTGATTTGATACAATACGTTCCGCTACTCGGTCCAATCGTACCGGTGTCATCGCCCGAGCATAGAGTCAAACCATCCACAGAAAGTGCCGATGTAGCCACTGAGATTAATATCAAGGCAAACAGAACGCGCATGATGCTGAACTGCTTAAAGGTAAAGACGTATGTACCATAGCCTGTTTGGTGCACATTCCACACTAACATCATTGGGAAAAACGAGCAACTGTAAAGACTAAATTTTCAGCGGCAGATCAATGTTTCTTTAAAAAAAACACAAAACTGCAAATGCATCTTACGGGGCAGGTAATGCTATTCCAAAAACTCGATGAGTGTCAAAAGCCAGATAGATCACCTGATCAGCTGACACATTGTACGATAAATGCAATTTCATCAAGCGTGTGTATGCAACTCACGGGAAGTAATACCGTCATGCGTGAGTTGCT